ACAACTGAACCTACGTAAGCAACGTCTTTAACAATTCCGTTGTCTTCATTGCCTTTGTTAAAATTGCCTATTTTTTTCTGTAATAGTGATTTTTTTCTATTAAATGCAGTTCTGCTTAGGCTCTCTCTTCTTTCACCTTTGTCACACGTCATTTCAGATCATTGCTACTTTCTGCCACTAAGATGGTGTCATCAGCATATCTTAAGTTCTACTTCTTCCACCAATTTTTACTCCTTCCTAAGTCTGGTCCACTTTTTCATATACCATGCCCTGTGTACATGTTAAACAAGTAAGGAGGTAAAATGCACCCTGGTCTGACACCTGGGTCTATAGGAAACCATTCTTTCTCTCCATTTTCTGTCTTGAGAGTGGTTGGCTGTTCACAATAAAAACAACTTTGAAACCCAATGTTCTATTACCTTCTACCTATGAGACTTGAGTTCCTGGCTCAATAGCAGTAGTGGCAAGAAATGACAGGGTGAATGAATGAAGCTCGCCCAGGGAAAGGCATGTAACAGAGCCCATTTTAATTGAGCCTGATATTTGTCACCAAATTTCATAAGACAGAAAGTAATACAGACTCGCAAGATTTAGGTCAGATTTTTGCTGGGCCAGATTTCCCATTTCAGCGTGTGCTCTCTGTAGATTTGTCTTTTCTGGACATTTCACCTAAATGGGGTCATACAGTACATAGTCTGCTGCGCCTGGTAAAAGTCTGTTAAAAGTACAGTGAATAGGAGAAATTCGAATATTTGTCTATTTTCTGTTCCATTGATATTTACTTTTCTCTTTATTAATTCCTTCTATTTATTTTGGCTTAATTGGTGTCCCCCCCCCCCCCACGTTCTTAAGATGGGAATTTATAGAATTGATTTGAAAGCTTACTTCTTTTCTAGCATTTATAGCTACAGAGCTCTTTCTAAGCACTGTTATATTTTTATCATCGTTTTGACATATTTTTAAAAATTTCCTGTGATTTCTTCTTTAACCCATGGGTGTTTTAGAAGTTTATTGTTTAATACACATACGTTTGGGGATTTTCTAAATACTTTATATTTATTGATTTCTAACCTTTTTCCAGTTGTGTTGAAAGAACACATTCTATAAGATTTCCGTTTTTTGCAATCTATCGAGACTTAATATTTTGGCCTGGCATGTGGTCTATCTTGAAGGTTTCGTGTGTATTCGGGAAGAATGTATATTCTGCGGCTGTGGATGTAATAATCTGAAAATCGTTGGCCTCAAGGTGATTGGGAGGGAGTGCTGTTCAGATTTTTTAATCGGATTTTCTATATATTGATTTTGTGTGTGTGTTTCTATCACTGAGAGGCCAGTGTTGAGAATCTCTGGTTATAACTGGACATGCCTGTTTGCGCTCCTCTGTTTTAACCGTGTTCCCTCATTTATTTTCCTCTGTGGTTATTTCTGCCAGCTTCATCTTTTACGTCCGTATTTAAGTGAGCACTTAACCAGTCCCTTTATAGCTTGAATCGATGTCCAGTGTGACTTCAGGTTTTTCAGAAATTTGATATGTAAAAGCTGCATGTGGAGATGTTCCCCACGAGAATTTATTTCCTCCGCCAGAAAACTGATTTCAGAGAGAAAGGGAGAGGGAGAGAGAGATAGAAACATCAGTGATGAGAGAGAGTCCTCAATCGGCTGCCTCTTGCATGCCCCCCACTGGGGACCAGGCCTGCAACCTGGGCATGTGCCCTTGACCAGAATCGAGCCCGGTACCCCTGAGTCCGCAGGCCAACACACTATCCACTGAGCCAAACCAGCTAGTATGAGAGTCAAGTCTTTTAAATAAATCACATGCTGGGAATATTTCAATACGGTGGTCTCCTCTCTCTGTGGATCTAAGTGCTAAACATAGGAGGATCCAGGGACCAGTGTGGGCTCGGGGGCTGGGACGAGTTTGTTTTTAAGATACTCCCATATACACAATTTTCTTAGGAATGTAAATCAAAATGAGTGCTCTGAATAAAGAGTCCCTTCCGGCTTTTGGAAGAAAAAGTTTAATTAAAGCATTGGCCTCTGTCATATTTGAGAAGCCCCCAGCCTATATCTCATCTGAGCACAGAACTGAGTTGACTCGTCATACTCATCTGCGAAACTTGTGCAGCGTCGCTCTCCTTGTGGGCACAGCCAAACTCCAGGGACTCGCGGTCTTGGGGCCCCGTGTGAGGGGAGGCGCAGATGAAGAGCGGAAGCCAGAGCTCCCAGGCAGAGGGAGTGCAGAATTGGCAGTGTCAGTGCCGGAGGAGGAGGAGGCGGCCAGGGAAAGGCGCTGGCCCCGTATCGGGCACCATGCAGACTCCCAGGGCCTCTAATGGGGGAGCTGGACTAACAGAGGCACAGACCTGCCCTGAGATGGTTCATCGGCTTGAAACCCGAGGGATGTTTGGACATGTTTTTGCAGGGGCCGTTTCTGTGTGGGTGGCTGCGCATTACCCTTCGGCCGGAAGAGGTCGAGAGAGCTTAGAAGCTGTGGCTCAGGACCCCGCAGTTCACAGGCGCCTCCATGTACCCTGTCAGCGTGTCCGAGACCAGCACGGCCTCGGTCACCCTCCATGTCTTTCTATTTAAAAAGCAGACCTGAGACGCAGCTGCTGTGGCTGATTCTGGTTTTGCTGGGTAAGTGCTGATCAGTGTGGGAAAGGACAGCTTCCTAATCGCTTCTCCCCTCCTCTGCCGCGCCGTCTGTGGAGTCGACGTGAATGAGCCCTAGTGGGCGCCACCACGTGTTTGTGTGTGTAGACGTGTTTGTGTGTGTAGACGTCAACTTATCTAGAAGGAAGCCTCTGTTTGGGATTCAGAGTGTTCTGTCCAAATCATTAATGACAGAAATAGGAAGTATTTTCAAAAACTTGGCATTTCAAAATGCACTCATATCATCTCGCTACTCCCAACAGATTTTGAAAAAGTAATAATAAGGACACAGTGACTAGAGCTGGAGCTGGGAATAGCTCACGCACATTAATATTCCCAGAACATTAAACACTTGAAAATAACGTGGGGGGGGGGGTGACTCCTTTAGAGATTTGCATATAATTAATACAAAGTAATTCTTGTATTATTTTGAGTTGGTTATAATTAATGCAAATAGTTGCTGGATTATTTGGCTTCACGAATGTTGGCTTCTCTTAGAGGTGTTAGGACGGAGTATTAAGAAGTTGTTCTGATGGCCTTTGAGCAGAGGACAGGGAGGCACTACTGCGCTCTCCCAGATGCTGTGCTGGCTTTGCTGGCATTGCCTCTGTTGGGAAGAAATATTTTACGTCCTATTTCATTTCTAATCTCACAAGCACCTTCCCTGACAGCCGGTGACGTCAGGGTGCCCAGTCAGAGCGTGGCTTTGGGTGCCCGTCTTTTCCCGTAGCTGGAGGGAGAGAATGCCATCCCAGCCTTGTCCTCCTTCCTCGAAGACGGAATGAAGGTCAGGTTCACTGTTGCTCCCCAGCTGTTCAGTCTGAATCAAGCAGCAGGGACATGGGGACCTAGGGTCTGCCTCCGCCTTCTGAAGAGCCACCGATCCCATAGCTGGACCTCACCTGTACTCGGCCCCTTGCCCTGGACCATCTACAACATGTCTTCATGGGCTCCCCCAAAGGAAAACATCTCTCTCTTAAAGACTATGTTGTACAGCCCTCCTACCCTGTCTGCAGCTCGTGAAAGCCAGGGGCTGACTCCTAGCCCATGAGTGATGCGGTCTCACTGGGAGGGGAAGGCCTGTGGCCGTAATGCCCATGTCGCAATAATTGCTTTTCTGTACCGCGTGCCACTGATGGTATGCGCTGTCGGACCTTGCCGCGTGATAAACTGGGCAATAATAATTCATTCCGCTTTCCGTCAGCGGTCCTTATCTTCAGCTTTGTGGCTTGCACCAGTTTTTGCCACAAGGAGTAACCTGTGCAGTTTGGTTTTTCTCCGCCTTTAGTGACAACATCAGTTGCATTTGTAGTCTAAGAACTGCTTTGCCCTCGTCTGGGGAAACCAGATCGATTTACTGGAAACGACAGGGGGTGCGTTGTTTGGAAGAGAGACCGGAGCTTGAATGCCTCTGCTGGCAGAGTTTCCAGCTAATCGATCTTCATGAGAACTGGGGAGGAATGGATTGCAGGTGCAGTAGCATCCCGTTTATAGTACATGTCACACTTCCTTACCGTGCCCCTCCCCCCCCATCTGCTTGTGTGAAATATTTATATTTGAAGATCACTTTTTCTAGAACATTCAGACTATCTGTGCCTAAGTCCTATTCACCATTTAGGCTTATAACATTGTTCATGTTGTATTTTCGCCACATTTACATCTGAATCAGTTTTGTGAATTCCAAGTTTAATTCTATGTAACAGTAACAATAGAAATGTCATAGTTAAATATAAGCAATAACACACCCCAAGATGTGGAAATGAATTTGTGACAGACTACGTCAAACTAAAAGTTAACGAAGACCAACCCTTCATATGAGGTTTGCAGGGACAGAATGATAGAAGCTGGCCGTTTCTCAATGTCCAGTTCTTTAAATCACAGTTAATCTCGCATTTAAATTTTTTTGGAATACCGCAGAAGAAAACATGCTTTATCCTCTAGAAATGACCCAGTTACTTGTAGAGCCCTGGGTGGTTCCTGATCCTTAGCATGAAGAGCTGGACCTTCGAGCAGAACCTGGCACAGTCTGTTCCCACGCAGCACGCTTCCCTCCATGGCGGGGAGTCCTCCGCCCCAGCGAAGCCTGACCCTGTAGGGTGTGTTTTCCAAAGTGTATTTTCGCTTAACACGTACCTTCCTAGTCCCCATCCCAGGCCCCCGAGCAGCCTCTCTGGGGTGAGCCCTGGGAACCTGCAGTTTACGAAACTGTCCCACGTGTACCTGGTACACAGCAGAGTGGAAGGGCTGCTTAGCATTTATGCGTCGTGGAGACCTGCTCTGTTGGGTTTATGGGACACATTATTTTTATATGATGATGACTATTTTGCTCTTCTCCTTTTTACCCTCAGGACTGGTCCATCATGTCTGTAACCTGTTCACCGAAACGGCCACACTGTGCTTGGACGTGGACAATAGAAACAACAACGAGACGGCCGCCGCGCTGCTCTGCTCCCTGCTGGACGTGCTGCACGGCATGCTGACCTACACGTCTGGGGTCGTGCGGCTGGCCCTGCAGGTAGGGGCCTCGGCCCAGGTCTGGCACAGCCCTGCACCACACCACACCCCCGTCAGTCTCGTCTTGCTAATCTGCCTCTAAAGTGTCTTTACTTTTCAGAAATAACTTATGTCCTGTAGAGAGAGACTATCAAATAAGCCATCTTTGGTGACCAATGCCAAGAACAGATCATGTGATGACAAAATCGGAAAGGAAAGCGGGAGGGGCCTCAGCAGAGACTTGACGAGCTCTAATCGGGGAACCGTTCCTGGCTGAGACCAGTAGCCCTGCGGGCACCCGGGCTGGCCAAGCAGTGTGCCGCCTTTCCTGCCCACGGGTGGGCCCCGCCGCCCCAGGGGGAAACATCAGCTTTTGAGCAGTGGGTCGAGATTTTAGGCCCATGCATCCATTCATACACACACATGTTTATATGCACATGTACACACATCCATAACGCAACATGTAAACAAGCACTTGCTCTCCCTTATGACCAGTAACACGGAATTGCAGGTGGATTTGAGACTTAGAAGTGCATTCAGTCCATGTGCCCCAAACTGTACTGTGCTCTACGAAGGAAGGGGGCGTGGGTTTGTTAAGTACTTCCCATGTTAGGTGCCTCCACATGCCTGTTTCATGTCCTGCTCTCTCTCTGACTGAGTCAGCTGATACTTAGGGCGCATGAAAGCGCACAGCTGATGTGAATCCACTGTTACACTCCGAGTCCTGGTAGAATTGCAAGAGGCGTATGTCAAGCGATAGCCTATTGGCTTGAGTAGGTGCAGAAGCTAGCGGGGAGACCAAACTGTTTTGATACCTCGCCAAGAGCCAGCGTAGCAGAGCCAAGAATGAATCCCGCGAGCCTGGCTTAGGCTCTGTTACTCATCATTGTGATAACTGGTAACTTTTACCTCCAGCAAAGCTGCTCGAGTGTTTAGCTTATCTAGTGTGGTTGGTAAGTCCTTCCAAGATCTCCTCGACAAACATGGCCGTTAGTGTTTGCCGCACACTTGTAAAGCCAGCAGGTGAAAATGGCCTTGGAACTACTTTCTTTGCTCTTCTGGAATCTTTCTGAATGAACAGCAGAGCATTGTTAAGTACTTGTGGGATCCGGAATTAAGGTTTCTCTTAGCTTTTCCTCTCATGTCTCTTCAGAGAATAGCTGTTCTTATTTCAGTGTCTGTAGGAGTTTTATGTAAATCTTCAGGATATGGTTGCTAGTTATGTTCATAGTTACGTTGATGATATCAATCTGTGAAAGAAATGTTTTGTAGATTGTACATATAAAAGGGATCAGGCCCAGCCAGTGTGGCTCAGTGGTTGAGCATCAACTCATGAACCAGGAGGTGGTTCAATTCCCGGTCAGGGCACATGCCCGGGTTGGGGCTCAATCCCCAAGGAGGAGAGCATGCAGGAGGCAGCCAGTCAATGATTCTCTCTCATCATTGATGTTTCTTTCTCTCCTTCTCCCTTCCTCTCTCTAAAATCAATAAAAACATATTTAAAAAAAAATTTTTTTTAAGGAATCAGAAGTTCAGAAATTCCAGAGCAACAGAAATCTCTTATTAGAAGTGACTATTAGGTTGATAGTCAAGGTTGTTTAAAAGAAAACTCCTTAATAGAATTATTTTCTAATTCTTTCTTTCTTTGCTAGTGTACCAGTAGATCACTGTTTTTAATTTTCTCATTTTCTTCAACACCACTGCATACTTTACTGCTGTCGTCTTTCTAAATCCTCTGCTATATCATCTGCCATGTATTGCTTTTGGCTTCATTCCCGACTTTGATCTGCAGGGCACCTGGCGTCAGTCTGAGAGAGGGGAGTCCTTGAGACCGAGGGAGGGGAAAGGGTTGGGAAGAGAAACAGTGTGTGCACCAAAGACACCGTCTCCTGGAACACTGAGCCGTCTGTACTGTCCGGCCACCTCTCCCATCATACACACGCTCCACACCAGAGGGTCTCCCGCATTCCTAAACGTCTAACGCAGTCATTCTCAACCTTCTGGCCCTTTAAATACAGTTCCTCATGTTGTGACCCAACCATAAAATTATTTTCGTTGCTACTTCATAACTGTAATGTTGCTACTGTTATGAATCGTCATGTAAATATCTGATATGCAGGATGGTCTTAGGCGACCCCTGTGAGAGGGTCGTTCGACCGCCAGGTTGAGACCCACAGGTTGAGAACCGCTGGTCTAACGGGACCATCTCTGAAGTGGAGGAATCGGGGGATTGAGGACTGACAGTGTTTAAAATGACAGTAGCGCTTAGACTAAAGAAGCACTTTTCTTTTTCAGGGAGGAGAGGGACATGATGCAGGAATGTGTCCCAGGAAAGTAGGGAGTGGAGGGAGGCAGGTGTCAGAATCTCCCTTAGGAGTTCAGCCCCTACCCCCGCCTGCCTTGTGATGCAGAATTGGTCCTGCCTTACACGAACCTCCTGCCAGCAAGTCCCGCCACCCTCGTCCTGCTGCGCCAGCTCCAGACCTGGGCGTCATCCTTAACATTTCCTCCTTTTTCTTGTTCCACATCTGACCTGTCACAAAATAAATGGAGACTTTCACCTTAAATACCTAACCAATCCAGCCACTTCTTTCAAACCCTGCTGCTACCACGCAGCTCAGTGGACCGTCCTCTCTTGCCCAGAGTGTAACAACCGGGTGGGTCAAGACCCTGGGCTGGTTAAGGTGAAGAGGCCGATGTTCTGTCTCCAGTAGCGTTTCAGAAGGTGGAAGTAACAGCCACCATTCAGAGAGGTCCCGACCCTGGAATAGTGCTGCCTCTCGTTCTCTGGAACGGAATTCTAGCATTGTTCCCCTTACGGTGCAAGTGGTTAAAAGGCAGGCGTCTGATTTTAAAATTCTTCTGAACCAAAGAAAGCGGGCAGCTCACATGGTGTCCATCGGCCTGAGGAGCAGAAGGAAACTTGGCATTTGGGAGAAGGGTCCTGGAGTCCAGGCTCATGCCCTCAGGTGGGGCAGCCTGCAGCCTGGTCTGGCAAAGGTCACCACCCAAAAGCAGTTTTTTTTTCCTTCCGAGTGAAATAAAAAAAAACACAGAGGAAGTATTGAATGACATATGTGTATTCTATAGCAAACAAAATTACTAATCAGTGCCTTTTCCAGGATGAAATTATGCCTGTCTGTGTTAGAAATCCCTGGAATTAGACAGTTCTGTAGAACTCCTAAAAAGAGGCACACTTAGAATGAAAGTCACTCGCTTCCCATCTCTGATTTTAATTTCAGTTGAAGCCTATACTTTCTAGACCTTCTCTGAAGACTGTGCATGCAGTATTCTGTTGGACACGTATTCTAGGTGTCACTTGTGGGGGGGTGTGCCTGCGGAGAAGGAAATACGGCAGATGCGTTAGGTGCGCATTGTCTAACGCGCAGAACATGCCTGGGCTGAGGCGCGGAGGATGTGGAGTCGTAGAGCCTCGCTCATCCTCCGGCTTTGTCCCCACGGAATGTGGGAGTTCACACGAACTGCTTTACTTCTCTGCGCGTCAGTCTCCTCACCCGAACAACGGGGACAGGAGCCCCTCCTTCAGGCTGGCGTCCACTGCAGCCGGTGGACATCACTTCCCCAGGGACAGCCCTTGTTGGCGCTTTCTCTGTGGACCACCCGGTCTGCCTCTGCGGCCCGAGCTGGTGGCGGTGGCCATGGTGCACCCGTTGTCACGTGCGCACCTTCTGTTCAGGGGGCCGAGGGGGGATACCTCCGCAGCCGTGTTTATGTGCCCGGCTGGGGGGAGCTGTCCAGGGCCAAGCTGACTAATCTCCAAGACCCCCTCCTCTTCCCCCCTTCAAGGCGCAGAAGTCTGGCTCCGGGGGTGACACTCAGGCCGCGGAGGACCTGCTGCTGCTCAGCAAACCCCTGACAGACCTCGTCAGCCTGCTCATCCCGCTGGTAAGGGCTCACCTGTTCGTGTGTCTCTCCAAACACTGCTGGGGCTGAAGTAATGCTATTTGAATTTCATGATGTCTGGAGTCTTCATGCTATTTTAATTCCTTTCAAAACTAGAGCCAGGAGAAATTTCAGAGGCTCATTTGGCTTGGAATGACTACATTTCTACTTTATTTAAAACCAGGTGGCTTAGATGTTTAAGGAAAGCAGAATCTCAGATCCTTCTTAATGAATGTGAGGTTTAAAAAAAATGCAGGAAATGAATTCTGGGAAGGGAAAAAATTTTGTTATGGGGATCAGTTCTCTTTCAAAACAGTTTTTAGGGTTGTGCTTGGCATGCAGGGCTCCCCAGAAACAAAGAAGGGGAGCATGTCACCCAATTCCGCAGAATTAGGATGAAATAAGTGGAATTAGATAAAAATAGGCGAGGCTACAGAAGACCACGGAATACAGGAAAAGAGCCCAACAGAACCTTGGAGTTTGGGCCAACTCAGAGGACCCACCACATAGACACATGGCCACCCGCCCCCTGCCCTCCACCAGCCAGAGCAGTCAGTCAGAGGGCCAGTGGAAGGTGAAGAGGCCGATGTATTCCACAAATCCCCCTGAAAGCCTCTCCAGATTTGGGGATCCAAGGACTAGGGGTGCAGGTGACCAAGGGAACGAATCATTTGTGGCCTCACCCTTCAGTTCTCCAAGGCTGCGAAGGTTTCCCTTTCCTGCCCTCTGGCTTGAAGGAAGGTGAGTGCAGTTCGGAAGACTAATTCTATGGGCTTAATTGCATTCATCAAATAAAGGTTTGGTTTAACCGAGAAAGAAAAAGGTGGGAACCAGTCAGTGCTGGCTTATCTACACTAATAAAAGACAAACATGCAAATGGACCGTACTTTCACTATGCCTTAAGCCACGCCCACCGGCCAATCAGAGCGACTATATGCAAATTAACCCAACCAAGATGGCGGCTGGCAGCCACGGAGCTGGAGCGAGCAGGAGGCTTGCTTGCTCCAGTGATGGAGGAAGCCAAGCTTCCCCACCTGCCACGGCCAGCTCTGAGCTCCACTAAAAGCAACAAAGTTTCAATTATAGAAGGTAAACAAACCCCAGATACCTGCTTTCAGCCAGCTGTGGCCACGGAGCTGGAGCTGGAGCAAGCAGGAGTGGGTTGCCCCTGGTGATGGAGGAAGCCAAGCTTTCCACAGGCCTCTGCTAAAGGCAACAAAGTTTCAATTATAGAAGGTAAATAAATCCCAGAAATAAAAAAGGGAGAGGCTGGGAGCTTACGTCGCCAGGGGGCTTGGCCAGCCTGAAAATAGCCATCAGCCCCTCACCTAGGCTGGCCAAACCTCCATGGGGTGAGGGTCCCCACTGGGGTGGACATCCTCCGAGGGGTCCCACACTGCAAGAGGGCATAGGCCGGGCTGAGGGACCCCCCCCCCCCCGCCAGTGCACAAATTTTTGTGCACCAGGCCTCTAGTATTAAATAATAACGCACGTGGAATAGAGGGTCACAGAGAGGCAGTGGGCTCACAATGACGTGGGGGAACAGCCTGAACCCCAGGGGACTGGCCGTGCCCCAGACAGAGCGGGAGGATCTCTGGTGTCGAGCTCGGCATGAAGTTACGGGAAAATAGCAGCAGGAACCAACTGCTCCAGCTCCAGCCCGAGGGCTGGACCCTGGCAGCCAGCTCTCGTGAGGGCAGGAAACGGGAGGTTCCATGGACCAGAGAGAAGGGACTAACACAACCACGTGCTCTTGTATAAAAGACTCAAAACGGTATGTGTGCGTATACTAGTACAGATAGATACAATATATTATGTAGGGTGGTAATCGTATTTATAGCAAATAAGATTAAAAATAGTTTAAGGAAGTCAGATGGAGAATTCATTATAGATAAATTTCTAGGACTCTATTTCACACTCATGTTTGTGAAAGTTTCGATGTTTACACATTCTGAGATTTGTTCGCTCTTATTGTTAAACGTATCTTTGGTCTTAATTTCATTGTCTTATGTTATATTTTCTTTCTAAATATATTCCTGTATTAAATATAAGAGTTAATGCGCACGCGCGCGCGCGCGCGCGCACACACACACACACACACACACACACAGAAAACCTTTAACAGGACAAAGAGAAGGATGTCACAGTGGTAAGGAAGAAAGTGCACAGGCACAGATGAACGCAATCAGAAGGGCAGGATGCATGCAGGGAGAAATAAGCAGCAGCAACAACACAGTAGTATTGAGTATTGAGATGCGACACATCTTCCTCCTTGCCCGACCAGCCACATGGATAAAAATAATAATGTAGATCAGGAGTCGACAGACTAAGGCCTGTGGACCAACTCTGGCCCGCTGCCTGCTTTTGTAAATAAAGTTTTATTGAATACAGCCACAGGGACAATTTGTTTACACATCGCCTGTGGCTGCTTTTGCACCTCAGTGGTGGAGTTGAGTTACAGCAGAATCCTTAAAGCCCATAAGCCTAGTTATTTACTGTCTGGCTTTTTATATAAAACATTGGTTGACTCCTCTATAAAAGATACGAAAACGTGAATAAGATTGATCTAATAGAAAACATATCCACCTCTATTAGAAATAGAAAACTTGACTAAGACTATCTAATAGAATTTTATCCACCTCTGTACCCTGAAAATAGAGACTGCACCTTCTGTTCAGTTTTCTGGCAGCATTTTAAAAAAGTTAGCCATACGTTATGTTATAAGAATGTCAATAAATTCCAACGCATAGGAATTCTTTAACCGTAATACAATTAAACTAGAAGGAAAGTTACAAACAATGGAAGATGCACTGTTAGCAGATACTCCCTGTGAGTACGATCCAAGACTAACACGTCGTGACTGTCAGCCTGGGTCCCATCAGGAGACAGAGACCACACAGCAATGTAAACAGGAGGATTTTAATACAGAGAATGAGTAAGCTATGCCAGGAGAGTAACTGTGAGATGTTAAAGGGACTCTCTGGGAAACCGTTAGCTCAGGGAGAGTGCCCACGGAAGGATAAACTTGACAGGGGCCCCTCCCCAGGGTACAGGCCAGACCTCACTGGAGAAGGCCTGCTGCAGCCCACAGGCCGTGGAGCCATTCGCTGGGGTGCTCAGGCCAGAGCGGGCCATGTCTCTGGACATGCAGGAAGTGACCCTTCAGCGTACAGCCGGATCCCAGCCAGTGGGCAGGTTCTCAGAGGGAAGCAGGTGCCGCTGCTAGTGGGGGGTTTGGGGTGCCCAGTGTTTGCACAGAGGGGACCACAGACTCTGTGCAAGAGACAGGTAAGGGGGTGCACGTGGGAAGCCTGGAGTGCACTGTACCCACTGGGGAGGGTGACAAGGCTGACCACAGGCCAGGCGGGTGAAGGTTGCTGAGGTCACATCCCTACCAGATGCCATCACACCCACACTTGTGACCGACAGTGCAGAGCCCCTCCCTGCAGTGTATTATCCGAGGGTTTTCCAGCTTCCTGCGAGTCTGTGCTCATGTTGTTAGTAACTGGCTCATACTTGGGCTCTGATGTATTGGCCGATGTCTGCCTGACGTGTGTGAGCTGGGCATGTACCTGCACACTTATCCCCGGAGTCCTTAGGTTTGAGAATGGCCTGCAACAAGACCTTTGCGATATGTCTCCTCTGGAAAAGATTAACACGTTTACAGCTGTGTACAAAGTGGGGAAAAGTAATATGCTATTGAGGGCCAAAGATACATTTTACAGTGGTGGTTAAAAAATGTAATAGGTTACCGAGGGCGCAGCTGGAATTTCATTCCCAGAGGGAAATATAAACAGACTTTTCGTTTTCATCTGACTCAGATAATTTTGGAAGCATTTTGCCTGAAGGCAGGTGAAGGAACTTGTTAGCTTTTGAGGTTCTTTCCAGAAACCAAAGTAAACATACTTATCCTTAGGAGATGAAACCCGTCAACCCATAATTTATGACCTGAATTTGTACCATACACCAGAAGGATCACAGTGAAATGCAGGTATGACACAGTGATTCTTAGTCCTTTCTGAGCTGCTTTGAGAATTGGAAAATTCCAAACTCTCTTCTCAGAAAAATGCCTAGAATCACTTACATGCAAATTATGCGCACAATTCACTATTTCAGGGGGCTCTTTGAACCCTCACTTGGGAACTGTGGTATAAGACATGGTGAATGAAGGATTTAACAAGTTGACCATGTCTCCTGAAGAAAAGATAGAACAAGGTAATTGTTTGCCCTAAATATTTTATTTCTTAAGAGAAAAAGGCAAGCCAGGCTCTATATCCTAGATACATTTTGTAACAGATAGTTCCTGCAAGAAATTATGCTACAGCCTCCTGCTCCGTCAATTAAATAGGTTATTTACAAATTTGTGAGACTTTAAAAAATGTTTTCTTTTTTAAAAATTTATCATAATTCACGTCTTATAAAGTATGCATATATATAGATATAGATCTAAATATCTATATCTATATATTCTCCCACCATAATGGAATTAAACTTTTTTTTTAATATATTTTATTGATTTTTTACAGAGAGGAAAGGAGAGAGATAGAGAGTTAGAAACATCGATCAGCTGCCTCCTACACATCTCCCACTGGGGATGTGCCCGCAACCCAGGTACATGCCCTTGACCGGAATCGAACCCGGGACCCCTCAGTCTGCAGGCCGATGCTCTATCCACTGAGCCAAACCGGTTTCGGTGGAATTAAACTTTAAATCAATAAAAGATATTTGGAAAATCCCAAAATATTTGGAACTAAATAACACAGTACCAAATAATCATGGATCAAATAAAAAATAATTAAATTAGAAAGCATTCCTGAACTGAATAAAAATGCAAACACTCCATATCAGAATTTGCTGGATGCTTGTAAAGCAGGACTTAGGGGAGGGAAACCTTTAGCCCCCAGTCACTCTTGTGTGGGGAAAGGAGAAAGGTCCCTGTGAGCTCAGCTTCTACCTTAAGAGACTAGAAATAGGAGAGCAAATGGCAGTGACGCTGCTGTAGT